GTGACGATACATGTCAGTGTCTAACGATCACAGGAGATCTGTGACGATACATGTTAGCGTTTGACGATCACATGCGATTTCTAACTAGATCTGTGACGTTTCGTGTCAGTGCTTGACCGTGACAGAGGCATTGCAAACGTCGGACTATTTTAGACACATTTTTGGTAACACATTTCGATACCAAATTTACATTGTTTGAAAGACAAAAAGCCTTGTAAAATTACAAAAGTTTTAAGAACAGGCAATACACTAAAATTCTGACTATATCAGAAGAAGTATTACCTTACTTTAACGTGTCGGGTGTTAACTGGCGAAATCGGACGATGAATGAAAGTACCTAGGGATGACGAGAGATCTTTAACGATACGTGTAGGTACCTGTTGGCGACACCTGTCATGGCTACACTAAGTACCGCTATCAGACAGGAGAAATTTATACCACCATTGTCTAATTTAATGTATCACTGGAACATGGTTTACGACAGTAATTTCATTCACCTTCAAGCCCACCTTCGTCGATCACGTGACTCGGTTCTAAGTGTGTGGAAGTGTGTCAGTCGGTCAACTGTCGCTCCTTCGAGTGGGGAGGGGTTTGATTTACCTGGTAGAATAAAGGTGACAGAGCCAATACTTTTCCATGGCTCTATTAACTGATTACGTTCCAGACCCGTGATCGGTTGAAAACGGTACATATACGAGAATTTTTTTTTACATTGAACGGTTTTACTGCCTAACATATTACGATTTCACTGACAACTTCACCAAGCTTACCAAGCTTTTTATTTATTTATACAAGGCCTACTTTATATTGCCTACTTCAATACGCCTTGTTAGCTAAAAGATAATCAAACAAATTCCCTTCCACGATATTCAAACAAAGATCCTACGCTAAACTTGCACGTGCATGTATTTATCTATTCATTATTGTTTATTTTCCACTTCCTGTATCAATATGAAATTGACACCTGAAGTCACACTAAGTCCATCAAGTAATGGTGGAGAAAGAAGAACGTCTTTGATTTGGTTTATATCGCTTAAATACAGGTCAATATATAGTGTCATCGTTATACCTAGCTGTTGACTCGTACACCGAATTCATCTATCAGTATCTTTTTTCTGATATCTGACTCTTTTTCAACTCTCCTATTTTTTCTGCTTTTCTTATACTATGTGAAATATATTATGTGCTAATCATTATTAGGCCATTGATAAGTTTTGCATATATGTGTACTTGTAATACGGAGAGGACATTGATAAGGTGTGATAACTTGCGTCCAATCCTTTTGTGTACAACATGTTTATGCAATAAAATGTATTTAAAATCAAAAATTTGATTGAGAATCTAAAAAGAGCGCCGAAGAGAAAAACAAAATAAGTAATAAAGGCAAAGTACAATGTAGTAAATTAACTTGACATTTAAGAAAATTTTATATTTAGCTACATTCTGTAACAAGTGTTAAACGGTTATCAAATAAGATCTTTCCAGACGGCCGATGGCGCACACCGTCCGTCTCGACGGAAAACTGCTGTGGTGTCCTCAACTCCGCAGAGGTCGTCTACTTTCGGTTTCAGTTTATATAATAAAAACGGTGGTATGTCATTCATGATTTCGATGCTAAGTTATAAATCTGCCGTTGAAATCATTATATAGTACTTGTGATTCCTTGGAACTATTTACCTGATTATAAAACAAAAGTCAGTTATATTTTGTTTGATTGAGGCACTTTTATTATATCGGCCTGGTTCGGCAACTTGATACGACATCTCTTTTACATAGTATTAGGTTACATCGATCATAACATACACCTGTCTTTATTACTACAGTTAAGTAGGATATCATGTATGTTTTGAATCAAATAAAAGTTGATTTACTGACATTAGCGTATGTAGGTTATATAAGATAGAGTTAAGCCTCGGGCTATGTCTAACATTGCCATCAGAAACGGTGACATTTCCCGTGGCAACCTGTCTCTTTACATGTTACTCACCTTCGTCGCCGTTATGAGCGTACTACCACGGATGACCTTTACCAGTGTCGACGTCCTGGACACACAGTGAACTCACCATAATTAAACTTAATGATAAATTAGGACTAACATTTTTACCACAGATATTAATACTAGAACAGATGATTTAAGAGGTTTGTAGTAAAATAAAAACACGATAAAACTAACCATTTTGAAATAAATTTACATGTATGTATTTGGAAGTTGATTAAACGTGACTTATTCAAACGAAGCCCGGAGGTTTTATAAAGCCCCTGTCTGTCTGCATTTGTGTCTGTGACGTATGCTTGTCTGTCTGTGTGTCCCTGGGACAGGGATACAGTCTCTCCCTACCTGAGATAGCTGTAGAGGGGGTTACTTTTACTGTTATGTCTGCACTGTATCACCTTGATAAGGACTGATCGTAATGCCCTGTACATCTGCTGCAGACATGTACGTTCGGCGGTAAGTAAATACTCCCCGGGACCTTCTAGGTTTAATCAAGTAGATCTTTATTGACTTCCTTGTAATAATTTACACCAAGTTATATTCTTTATCCGTTGGTGTCATGACAAGAGAACACAACACTCAATTATATTGTTCTTATAAATCATATGGTACCAAAACTACCTGGTTTTCATTTTCTTTGAATTTTTGTCTCATTTCTATTCATGCATCGTGAGATTTAAAAAATAAATAATCGAATTCAGGTAAATATTTCGTTAATTTCATGCATGAAATTTAAAGTGTGTCTAAATGTGTCATCACCTGGAAATACGTTTCAAAATCACTTTGTAATGTTTGTATATAATTATAAGATTCCCTCATAATATACTTTCATTGTTCATTCAAGTGTTTATTACCAATCTCCTTCAGGTCTTTATGCCTCTCTGCTTTCCAGTTTTAATTTAGTGTTTCTCTAAAAAAAAAAATGATGTTTATCTTTGCACATGAATACATGTCTATGCAAATGCAGCCTACCTGTCCTCACACAACAAATTAACCCGGAAAAGCACGGAACTGTGTTGCCCTGTGCTTACACTAAACCACATTCGTGACTTCGTGACGAATCATGTCGGACAAACACAACCGGATTTCTACTGTGTATACAATACTAAATTGAGTGACCGGGAAACCACATTTTTCAAAATGTGACATTAAAGATAAAAACCGTATAACTGGTAATTTCACGGAGTGTTCACTTTTGGAGAGAGCGAAATTGAGCGTACCCCTGGAGTATCGAGGATGAATTTTGCATAATTTTGTAGAATCTTTCAAGTGAAAACATTCTTTTAAAGTTCCTATATTGAACAGAAAAGGAAGTTCCTAAAACCAAATCGCAAAAATTGAAACGAACTGGCTACTGACACTCGGGCTACATAAGGGGGGAAAATGGTAAAGACTCGCACAACTAAATCAACCAATCAGCAAGTGTTTCTAACGTTTGTAGTTCCTATCTAAAATAGGTTCCGGCTAATCACTTGGCCACTGAAGGAGTTTAATAAGGAACTGGTGACAGATTTTTAGATAAATGAAATGTCAAGGCATTTAACTTTTGAAAAATGTATACTTTTGATATATTTCCATGTCTGTGTGCAGATTTGCACAGGGGCAAAACGTCTGGGGGCGTTTCTGTTTTGGGTCCTCGGTTTTGCTTGTAAACTTCCGGTTGTCAACTTCAAATTCTCGCTGTGACACTCCAATATGCCACTAAACCTACCAAAAAGGTCATTGTGTAGCCTTTGCAAGGTATGTCTTTATGAATCTAGACAGTTGTCACTGGATTTGAACTTCAAATATTAAATTTATTAGCTAAAATATTTGATGATAACATAAAGTAAATTATTTAGTTGTGTGAGTCCTATACCAGTTGGCGGATTCCGGAAAGTTTTCATGTGGCGATAGTAAACTGTCAACCGGGCATTACTAAAAATCCGTCTTTACCGTACAGTTCTGAAAAAAGGTGGAAGAGGAATCGGTTTGAGTTCGATATAATCAAGGAATTTAGAAACTCTATAGAATAAAATAAAAATGGATTTGCCATATGTCGTGTCCATCACCTAACACCAAAGAGTATGGTGCCTTCGTTGACTTGTGGTCCACCAGGAGCCTCACCGACCTGGAAGTAATAAAACAGAAAACAGTTCCAAATTTTGTGATAAATATAATATCACCAGCGAAGCTAATATCATAACGTATGCAATAGTATGATCCACCATACGTGGTCTACTGTAACGAACATCTGAATATTCATAATAATTAACTGGAGTTGGTTACAAGGGAATTTATCTTGAAGGACGAAAACGTATCTGGTGAATAATCCAGCATACTTGTGTACGGCTTTATGGTATGTATTGATCTGCCTAAATTATTAATAAAAAAAAAGAATATACCTCAATTTACGTTTTTGCGTATCGTGCACAGTATACAAACTGTAAAGAATCCAGTTGTATTTGTGCCTAGTTCTTGGATAATTGCACCCACGGAAATTCTCGAGATATCTATATTAGGATGACTGTATATATACAGTATTGTTTGAGAGTGAATAGCACGTAGATCTGTGTAACCATACCATTCTCCATTATAACAACGCTGTGGCAATGGACATGCTAAAATATCTAATGTAATGTAACACGACGGCATGTGACTGTGTAACAACCCCGTGGTATGGGACCTCTAAGACCAATCTACCCATGCTGACGTGATGGTACACAGACGTGTACATTATCTATTATGTACCATTTTCACATGAATGTATGAGGAAACGTCACAATATGTATATGCGGGCGTGTACCCTCATTCGTCTAAGCTCATACACACAAGACCAGTTGCACACGGCTATCTTATTTACACATCCAATCAACGAGAGGCATTTGGGAAGGGCATTGCACGTGCGTGGCTTATTGGTCAATAAGGCGTTGCTACTCAATTAAAAGTGTCTTCATGTACCCGAAAAGGTAGAATAATAGTCAACGTATTCAAAATAATAATTATTTTCTCCTTTTTGTATTTTCAGATTCCATCAAACGTTGTAGAGGGCGAAGCGTGTTTTGATAGGTCGCAGTTCATCTATTGACTGGAAGGCGACATTATTCACGTGACATGTCGAGCTCTGACCTCGTGACACAAGGTGGCACGGTCGTGCGTGACCAGGGCATCGGGCGACAATTTAGCGAAGAAAGTTACAGTAAGTAAGGAGGGACCTGACGGGATTGATCAAAGATAGTATTAGGAAAGGTGGGGCAAGTCAGATTGGTTTAGTTTAGTTTAATTTAGTTTAACGTCCTATTAACAGCTTAGGTCATTTAAGGACGTGCCTCCTTATGTGTAGTGTATGCGTACTTCTTTGTGTGTATGCAGGATACAGGGTATGGTGGCGTACTTGCCTCCTTGTGATAGCGCAAATCTGATGCCGACTTTATAGTGCTATCTCACTGAAATGCTATGCCGAAGGCACCAAGCGCAGCATTCCGCCCGGCAAAATTATACTGACAACGGGTGAACCAGTTGTTGCCATTCCTTTTATTGCTGAACATTAAGCAGAAAATAACAACTACCATTTTTAAAGACTTTGGTATGTCCCGGCCTTTTGACAGAACCCATTGTCTTCCTCACCTGGGCGAACGCTCAACAGTCAAGCTTAAAGTGAGGTGCTGCCAAGCAAGGCACTAGGAAATAAAAGGTAGTTAGAAGTAGAAAGAAAAATAAAGATCCCAACTATTGCAATTGGCGCAGCAGATTTATTTTGGTCGCTTTTGTGTCCCCAATTAGAGGAGATCAAAGCAAATCTCCAATTATGCAAGGGGTTCTTTCATTACGTCGCCTCCTACGATACATGTAGTGGGTAACAACAGGTGAATTATTTTCCCGATTCCCAAACTGCAGGGGTGGGCTAGTGAGAGATGTGCAAGCTAAGCGAGGGAGAGGTATAGGTAGGCCAGAGATCGAAAAAGAGGTAAAAGTACTTTTGAAGGACTCAACAAGATAATATGGGAGATGGAAGTAAGGTTTGTAAATAAAGCGCTAAAACTCATTGAAGTTTTTGCTTGAGGACTTCAAAAACAAAATGCATTAAAAATAGATGTGGAACTTAGCAGGAACAGTTGATTAGTAATAATGCAGTTGTTGAGCCTTTGACCAACAGAAATATTGTGGAAATCAATCTAAGTAGATATCTTTGAGATTTATGTATTTCAGCGAATCTATCCAATGGCTTTTTTAATTACATGACTAGGTTCCTGTTGTTTCTCTTGCAGCTTGATATAAAACTAAACGAGTTAGTGTATACCTGGAAGAAATAGTTGCTGTCTAACTAAATTACTACGTGTTTCATTTCAGATGACAATCACCGTACGGACAGTTCGTTCATTGGGCTCCGCCTACCAAGTCGTCCGCACCGGCCAGGAAAACACCACCATAAACACCGGGGCAAGACCAGCGCGTCGTACACCGTAAATCACACCGACTCCGTGGCTCCCAGTACGTATTACAGGCGCGCACGTGTCGGACATTGTCGGAGATTTTCTATGACAATGTTTTTGTTTTTGCTTTTGAAATTATCTTTCAGAGTTAGAGGGGCGGGGGGTAAACAGTTTTGAGAACGTTTGGTAATAATATCACTTATATTAGTCCCCTGTCTACTAATTAAATATTGCAGTTTCTCCTTTTTGAGATTGCTGATGAAATAAATAGATAAAAACTTTTTAATTTAATAGTCATTTTCATAAAACTTAACTATAAGTGGCGAGTCATTCAATAACAGCAAGAATAACTGTAATAGCTTTTGAAAATCATCCTCAATCTTTGACTAGTGCAGGACGTAAAACACACCTTTTTTTTCGAAATCAACGTCCGATGCGAGTTCATGATTAGACCAAGTTTTAGGAAATTATGTAATACCTACTTCAAAAGCTTAATATCAAAATTATTTTAGTCAAATGGAAAATAATTTTAGTCTGGTATAATAAATGATTATTGACTTACCTTGATTATTTTTTTGTGGTATTTCCTTTAACTTGTCATCGAGTATTTTACACAAAAACCTTTTTTTCAGTCACATTTCTTTCAATACTGTAAATAATTGGTATAAAATCTAGTGATAACGTGGCATGTATTTTAAAGTCAGGAATATAGTTCAGATGACCTTCATGCATGTTATATGGCCACGGCATTACACAAATCGTATTTAAAAAAGGTTTTTAATCAAAATGGTCTTACAACAGACTTTTGAGGCACGAATAGATCTTCGACTATCAGAACAAGGCCTTCCATCGAGTAATCATTATCCTTTACATTTGGCTTTTACTCACTGTCACGTTTACTCG